ATGCCTGCCTGCTCCCTGGCTGCCCGGAGGCTGTGGCCTCAGGCTCTGTCTTGACTTCTGGTGCTTCCACTTGACACTTCTAGACTGCAAGCCTGGACTTGCTAATGGGGTAGCTGTTTCTCCTTACTGTCATTCCTAACACCACACTCACGCCCACACGCCTGCATGCATGCACGCATCTCTTGGTTGATCCCCAGCTGTCCCATCTCTCAGTCACCTCTGACTTTCTCTGTCTTTTTATACCTCACCCCCACATGAGAGCAGATCCTGCTGTCTGAACCTCGGCCACTGATCAGGCGCCTGGCCACTGCTTTTCACACCCCGCTGGCTGTGTCCCGGCCCTGAGCATTTTCCTAGGGTGTCTCCTTGGCTGTCCTGGGTCCCTGCCCACTCCATCCTTAATGCAGCAGCCAGAGTGAATCCTGAGGCCATGGGCCTGACCGTGCTGCTCCGCTGCCCAGCCCCCTCTGCCTTCCCACCTCCCACAGCATGAGCTGAGAGCTACTGGTGGCTGCAGGTGCTGCCGACATGGCTTCCTTTTGCCTCTCTGCGCTCATCTCCTACCCGTCCCTCGCCACGGAGCCTTGTCACAGCTTGTGTGCAGGCCAGGGAAGCTTCTGCCACAGTGCCTTGGCATGGCTGTGCCCACGGAACAGACTGCACGACCTGCCCCCCACCTCTTCGGTCTTTTGCCACTTCCCCCAAGAGACCTTCCGTGAACACTGTGTCTAAAATTATAACCCTCTTTACTCACTAACCACTGTTCCTACTTTGTGACACCCCAAAGTCACATATTTTAGTTGTACTTGTGTTCATTTTCCGTCTCCCTTCCATGTGGGTCTGGGATTTTGCCTGTCTGTGCACTGCTGTCTTCCTAGTGCCAAGCACCGTGCCCATCACTTCCTGTCGAGTGAATAAACAATCCCATAGCAACACATTGTCTACTCGGGTCACCAGACTTGATCCCTTTCAATCAGAGTGCTCTCCAAAAGTCTTCTTTAATAGGCTGGTTCTAGAGGTTATTTGCAGTTCTGGGACCTGGCTGATGACCAGAAAGCACATATTGATTTTATTTGTACCAGATCCTTCCTTTATCTCTCAGGAGTTCCTGCTCTAGCTTAGACGGATCGACTTTTAATTTATCTAGTAAAGGTGGCTGCTGTCTCACACTGTCCTTGTAGAGTCTCTGGCCCTGGTGTACAGTTAGAAGGTGCCCCAAGTAGAGCGGCCAGTCTTGTGCTGCAGTTCAACTTTCTGCTGGGCTTTTCGGCCTCTGCACTGAGTTGAAAGTCTTCTTTTACCTCCTCACCTTCCTATATTCTGCTCCACGCGACAAGGCTAAGGCTCCTGGGTCCTCACTGTGTGCGAAAGGCTTCAGCCCCAGAGCCTGCTGGGAAGGATTCGGACTGCAGAGCCTGCGCAGCCCAAGCCGGACTAGGTGGGGGGATCAGCTGCAGCAGCTCCAGGGAGACCACCATGGCGGGCGGGACGTGGCTCCCTGAGAAAGGTCTGGTGTTAGATCCCATGGCTGTCACTCGCCTTGTGACTTGTGGGCCTGCCCCTGGGAAACCTGGGTCTGTCAGAGTGAGCCAGGTTCTCTGCCTCAGGAGTGTGTCTAGGGACGCAGGGTCACTGGGAGATGGTGGAGGAGGGCGGCAGCGAGGCGATGTCGGATTAGCACACACGGTCACCCCTGCTCCTCCACCCTCCTGTCTCCTCGCTGGAAACGGACATGACAGCACCCTGCCCCGGAGCTGTGCAGAGGACACAGGTGGCTCTGCATGGGCATTGAGGTGCTGTGGCTGGGCATTGGTGACCGATCGAGGGTGCCCTCGACTCTCGGAGCTAGCAGAGTCCACCATGCTGTGGAGCACGGGGCGGGGCGGCCTTCCCCTCTGACCTGCTCTGCCTGTGCCACACCCGTGTGGTGTTAACTATTAATAAGAAGAGGTTTCCGACCTGTCCTTCCCCCTCCCCATCTCTCCCTCTCTCTGTGTTCCCTTTTCCCTTCCTCCTTTCCTCCTTCTCCCTCTTCCTCCCTCCCTCCCTTCCCTCTTCTTGCTTTCTATAGTCTTGAGAGATTGAATTCAGGGCCTGGGGTATGCTAGCTGCACCCTCAGTCCCATATTTTCTTCTCTGCAAAAAGTCTTCTGGGGCATCTTGTACAGCAATTAACCACTAAGAAGAATATATGCAGTGTATTATTTGTTGAAACTGTACTTCCTATTTGATTTGAAACTGTCTCATTGCTGTTTATCAATAAAACTTTGGAAAAAAAAAGTCTTCTGGGCCCTCCTTGCTCCAGTGTCACTCTGGTGGGGAGCTGGGACATGCAAGGACATGGGCCGTGTGTGTGGGGTGTGTGTGGGGTGTGTGTGTGTGTGTTTGTGTGTACCCAGCATCCCCGGGTTGACCACACTAACCGCAGGTGACTCATTTGGTCTGGACTGGGCAACCCTGGACCCTGGCATGGAAACTCCCTCCCAGGACGCAATCCTAGAGAGCGAGGCTGGGGAACGGTAGGGAAAGGGGTGTGCTGCCAGCCCTGCATTTTCCTTGAGTTTAGTGCCCCAGTTCCACACTCTAGAGCCTGGGCTGGGGGTGGACCAGAAAGACCTGACAGGACAGGAGGCCTCCTGCTACCTCGGGGGGATTCATCATAATTAGGGCTGCTGTTGGGATTGGGGTAAGGAGGAAAGTGAAAGGAATAATACATTTGAATAAACTGTTATTTATTTGGGTGTGTCCCTTAATTCCATCTTAAGAAATGACAAGAACCGTGTGTTCCTATTACAGTTAGAAAAAAGTCAAATATGAAAACAAAAAAACTAAGCATGCAGAAGACTTCGGGTGCGAGCTGGAGGAACTCCACACTACTTGTGCTGACCTGGATCTTGGCACCTGAGTCTAGAGCTGCTAATGCCCTGATGTGAGCTCTCTCCTCTCCTCCACCATGAAGGTCATGGCTGTGCTGGGGACAGACCTTCCCCAGGACAGGGGCCAGAGTAACCACTGCTGGGGTGTTGCTACCAAACCCTACTGAGGACCTCAAAATTTCTTTGTTGGAAAGTTTTTGCTTATTTTTAAATTAAATTAAATTAATTAATTCATTAATTAAAGTTTTCACTTATTAAAAAAACCTGATAGGTAATACACAGTGCTTCATTCTTTACAAAGAATGTTGTTTATGTCTGGATATGACCCTCCCAGTTCTACAGCCTGTTTGGTTACCTCTGTCTGGGACAGTTAGTGAGCTGAAACCCAGGGAGGTTAGACACAACGCATCACAGAGCCTGCTCATTAGGGAGGGCAGGACTTTCTTGGGAGACCAGGGGCTCCTGAATCAGCCAACATTCTTTTTTTTTTTTTATATAAATTTTTATATTTATTTATTTATTTGTGTGTGTGTGTGTGTGTGTGTGTGCGTGTGTGTGTCCAGCTCAGCCCACCAGGGGGCGGGGCTGGCTGGCATGTGGTGCTGGGGGATTGAACCGTGGTCCCTGTGCTTTGCTAAGCTTGTTCTAAGTAGGTGGTTTAGACCACTGAGCCATCTCACCAGCCCAAGGATGATCTTTTTTTTTTTTGGCGGAATCGGGGATTGAACTCAGGCCCTTGGCACTTATTCCACTGAGCCATCTCCCCAGGCCCCAGCCAACATTCTTATGAGCCATATTACAAGCTATCTTTTGGCTTTCAGCTAGGCAGAGTAGATATTATCCTTTCAAGTAGGGAAATCGAGTGGTGCCCCAGGTGACAGAGGGCGACAGAACCCAGCTGCAGGAGCTGTTTGTCGTAAGTGCGCCCTGACCTGTACGCACATCACGTGTGTGTGTGTGTGTGTGTGTGTGTGTGTGTGTGTGTGTGTGGTGAGCTCGGTAGCTACAAGAAGAAAGGGAAATGCTGATTATTTTTCCGGACGGTAGTCACTTCCTGTCTCAGGTTGGAGGGCTGGCAGGTCTCTGATACCAGACTCAAGTATGAGGAAATAAAATTCAAAATGATTGCCCTGGCTCTCTGGCTCTCCTCTACCCGCTTCTGCTCCTTCTCTGAGCCACTGCTCCCTCCCCTGACTCTGGCCTTGAGAGGCAGGGCTGTGTCCCATGTGGCCACCACGTCACCTTCATCAGAGTTGGGTCTCGAGTCCCCTCCGGCCTGCCTTGCGGGAGCACCTTCTCCCCGGGGATGTGAACTCAGCCAGCCTGGGGCAGGGGGACAGAGTTCTGATCGGGTCTGAGTGAAGCAGGCAGCACTGTTGGCCCCTCGTTTCCTACCAATAATGGGATGGAAATGGGCTCAAGGGGCTGCCAGTGCCGGCCACGCAGTGCCAGTCCCGGGACCCAGCAGGAAAGATGCCATCTAGGCTTTGAGGGAGGGGAAACTGATAATAGAAAGGAAACCAGAGACCCTGGGAAACATTTGCAGGCCCTTCCTCTGGACGGTGGATAAGCAGGGGCTGTTGAGCACGGCGGGGCAGCCACCATGAGAGGACACAGGGTGTCTTTCCTCACTTGTCCCTGGGCCGGCTCTACCTGGCTGAAAAGGAACATCTGCTCCTGGTAAGGGGAAGCATGCAGCCTTCCTCCTGGCTACAGTAGCCCAGGCCAAGAGCCCGTCACCCTGGTGTCCCAGGCACAACAGCTCCTGCATCCCACACCCATTGTTCTGTCACTGGGTCACAGGCCTCAGCTCCTGCTCTGCAGCATGTGGGGAGTGGCGGGAGCCTGTACTCACTTGCTGAAGCATGAAGGTGTGTTCTCTGACATACCCTAAAGAGATAGCCTTTGAGGTCTCTGCCCTGCACTGTTTCCCCAGTCAGTGCTTTGACTTTGTCCCTTCTGTCTCACAGCCAGGGTGGGAACCCGCAAGAAACACAGAACAATTGGCACAAATGAGATCAAAGACAACCCAGGGCTTCTGATTTCCTTCCCTCACCTCTAAGTTCCTAATCATATTTAAGACAAGAGAGCCTCAAATGAGCGGATGAATAAACAGCAACTTACCCCTGCTCCACCTGTGGGACACAGTGGCCTGAGCGTTGTAGTACAACAGCAGGAGCAGCAGCGTCTTCCAACACATGTCTTTCTCTACTCGACCTCACACCCACGGAGAACCCGGTCGCTACAGGTGGGCTCCTGAGTTCAGCCCAGAGAGGAGACAGGGTTCTTACTACCCTCCCTTTCCAGGAGCTCAGCAGTGTCCTCCTTCTGCCTCTGCAGGGCGGAGCAGACGGCCACCTCTGGGTGGGACGAAGCCGGCACCTTCTTACTCCAACGCTCCCTGGGGTTGGGGGCTGGAGCGTCCACACAGAGGCTCTGTTTTTGAGCACATCTGGAGTGATTCACAGGGCATGTGATCGCCTTGGCAGTGGGGTGGATAAATATAATTTCTGTACTTGAGTTCCATGTGTTGGATGCGCCCACTGGAATTTTTCTTTAACAAACAGACCCGAGGAACTTGTTAGAGAGCCCGGCGAAGAGCTGGCAGCTCTCCCCGTCCACACACGCTACATCAGAGCCAGCAGCAGGGCTGCAGGAAGAGCTGGGTGCTTGCCTGGCAGACGCGGCATGCTGGAGCCCAGAGTTGCTGTCAGGACAGCAGAATCATTGTAGTAGCACCTGGGCTGGGTGTCACTGTTACCCTTCCCTGGATCTGGGCCCAGGGATCTGGGGCCTGGATCCTTCTCCAGGATCTGGACAGGTGAGACACTGGCAGAGTGTGAGGGAGCAGAAGTAGAGAGGTGGGGGCCGGGGAGATGGCTCAGTGCAATAAGCGCTTCCCTGGCAAGCGCAAGGGCCTGAGTTTAATCCCCGGTTCCACCAAAAAAAAAAAAAAAAAAAAAAAGAAGTAGAGAGGTGACGGGCCACGTGTGTTGTCTGGGTGACCTTTCTCAGGGCCATACAGAAGCCCAGGGTCTACCCTCCCTTTACATTAGCGATGCTCAAGTGAAGCTCTTTCTTGTTGCTGTACCAAGATGCCTGAGTCTGGATATTTCATAAGAAAAGAGGTTTATTTAGTCCACCTTTCTGGAAGTCCAAGAGCATGGTGCCAGCTCCTGCTCTGCTTGGTGAGGGCCATGTGAGAGATGGTAGCACCATGTACCCACGTATGGAAAGGAGATTGCACCAGGACACAGGGGACCTTGGGCTTGAGGGGTCAGGCTGGCTCTCATGGTAGCTAACTACAGGGCCCCACAGTTGTGACATTGGTCTCTTCTAAGGACGGCACTGCCAGTGAACTGACTTCCCTGCACTAGGCCACCTCTTGGAGGTGTCCCATCTGACTTAAGATCTGCTTTTCCGTTAGCGCATGCTTGCTCTACATGAGGATCGCATTCACCATGGGGCATCTGCACCTGTGCATACTACATCTTCTTTTATCTCCCATTCCCCTCCTCTCCCTGCAACGCTTCTTCCCCTGCCCATTTAGAAAAGCTTTGTTTCCATTTCCTTCTTCCATTCTCTTTTGTCATCGCTCTCCTTTTCTTCGCGTCCCCCTCTCTTGTTCTCTTTCCCATTGTAACATGTTCTTCCTGCTGCCCTCTGTCTATCCTGTACATGAATAACAAACTCACCGAGAGAGAAATCAGGGAATCAACATCTTTCACAGTAACATCAAGCAAAATGAGATGCTGAGGAATCAGTCTAACCAAGGACCCCCGTGTTGAAAGCTACAGTACCCTGAAAAAGAGATCAAAGAGGGCATCAGAACATGGAAAGATATCCCTGTTCTTGGGTAGGCAGAACCAGTGTAGTGAAAATGGCCATACTTCCAAAACTGTGACACAGATCTGAATGATCCCAATCAAAATACCAATAGCGCTGCACTATTTCCTTTTTTCATGGTACTGGGGATTCAACTCAGGGCTTCCAAAGCAAAAAATAATAATTTTTTTTTGTGATCATTTAAAGTAATGCCATGGGCCGCGCGTCCCTGGGAGCGGCCGCCAGGACGAGTGAGTCAGAATGAATGAGTGCGGAGGAAAGCCCCAGGTGTCCTCCAGCAGGCCTGTGGTGGACAGCAGGTCCGCCGCTGCCGGAGAGCATCGGGCGACACCCGAGCAGGGAGCGGTCCGGCGCGGGAGCCACCTGCATCTCCTCTCTGTCACCGGTGTGTGTTCAGAGACCCCGCCGAAGCATCAGAAGTGTTCTTTGGCATCTGCAGACCGTTGTTGAAATCTGTGAGCACCTTCTTCAGGAAACCCCATTTTGACCAAAAACTGCAGTCAGTGCATTGGGAAGCTTTTAGAAATTAGACATTTCAGTTATTGTAATTAGTCCTTAACTTTGAGGTCTCTTCATCTTGGGATCTAATTTCTGTCTTCCCTTCTGGGAATTGTTTAGGAGTAGGGTATTGAGGCTTTGGCCTATCACTAAGCCCCAGCTTACTCAGGTAACTGCTTCCTTTGATATAGGTTTGACTTAAGCAGACGTTTATATTTCAATTTATGTTCTTGTTTTGATCTTTGCGTAAAGATGATCAAAGAAAGGGAAAAACGAGTGAAATTATTTTTTTCTTGTCTATGTAGGAAGTAACTTTGTTGAGAGCGTTAAAATAACTGAGGAATTGTTAGCATGACCTGAAATTGATTGCAGTGAACATTCTTTCTCAGGTCTTCCCGTCGTGTTACTGAAAGTTTCTAAATCTTAAATTTTCACAGAAAAAGAATTGACTGTATAGTTTGAAATCCTTCCTGCCTTGTAAGAACAAGAGTATTCATTTCTCTGTCCAGGGGTTAAAAACTGGTTTGGTAAATTGCATTTTTACTTCCTGATATCCTTGAAGACTTGGTTTCGGGCTTTTTTTTTTGTATAATCTGTTTCAAATTGGTATTTAGAACCATAGGATGTATATTACACTTGAGATTGCGAACTTTGGAAAACAACTACATTTTTTTAAAGGTTAATAGGTACGTCAGTAACTATTCATAAAATAATACTATCTTATAAATAATAGTGGTATGACCAATTCCTTGGAGCCTTCTTTTCTTATGGATTAATCATTTGTTACCTTTATTGTAATTTTTATTTCAGTAATCACAGTAATACTGTAATTATTTCAGTAAGTTATTTCCCTCCCTAAATAAATGTTACTTATTTCTTTTTTTATCTTTCATAATATGTAGCATAGCGATTAGCACAATAAGTTCTTATGTATTAATAAAAGCTTTAAAGGTTTTCATTGATAATTTCATACAAATGTGTCACCTCTTACTTCATTTCCCTTATAACATGGTTTGTTGAGATTAAATACATCTGGTGTGCAAACCTAATAAAAACCTGTTGTTATCAAAAAAAAAAAAAAAAAAGTAATGCCATAGACATCTTGACTTTGTCCAATATGGCTTCCTCAACTTCCTTGAAATTCTAGGTGGAGAGCAGTGGAATTTGAAGTACACTTAAAGTCCTCTTTCCTTGTGGGCTTCCAGCCTGTGGAGGTGTGGCCGGGGAGAGCGCCTCTGGATGTCTCCATGACTTGAATCACAGCTCTCTACTGTAAAATCTGAAATCCCCTGAGCTCCCTAGTGTTAATAATGGCTGTTTGTGCTGGCTTGTTTCAGGCAGCAGCCTGGGTTTCCTCCTCATAGTCAGTGTCTACAACAAGCTCTACGTAGAACAGCTCTCCCCAACCGACATATAAAGCATGTCACAGTTAATTTAAATTTTCCCAGTTGCTACGTTAATGAAATGAAAACAGGTGCACTTTAGCTGTATCAGTATTATTTAACTCCACACATTCAAAGTGTTATCATTTATATATGTGATCAATATGAACATTGACAAGATGTTTTATGTTCTTATGATATCTCTGAAATCTAATGTGTATCTCATGCCTACAGCACCCGTCAAGTCCTTGGGTGGCCAGAGGTGGCCAGAGACTCCTGCATCAGACAGCTCTAGGCTGGAAGATAACAGGGGAAACTCTGGTGTAGGCTTCCTGTCTTTGGAAGCCCACCACTGACTGTGCCATGAACTAGCTATGTGACCTAGGCAGGCTTTCTTTTCTATTTTATTTTATTTTATTTATTTTTTTGGAAGATAGGCAGGCTTTCTTAATCTCCCTTTGCCTTGATTTCCCTCATCTGCAGATAACAACAGTTTCATCATTCCTGGTTGTTGTAAGGAGTTGGCCATGCATGGACGGACACTGACAATACCCAGAACACAGTAAGCTTTCCACACCTAAGTGCTCTATCCACATGAAGAAATAGAGCCAGGAGGTGAAGTATGTGTCCACCCGCTCCTGGATCAGCCTCCTACACCACCTGCTAGGAGGCTGGAACTCTAATTAGGACTGTGTGAGTCCATGCCCCAAATGCAGAACTGTTTGCCTAGCCTGTCTCAAAGCCTTACATTTTGGGAACCCCTTAGTGGAGCTCTGGGAAACCCGTTCTGTGGCTGGGGAGAAGCCCTGATTTGTAGAGCTTGCTGATTTCCTAGTGAACACACTTTCCACCGCGGCTGATTACAAGCCACCAATAGGTGGACAGGCAATCGCAGCATTTCTGAAATACAAACAATTAGCTTGTGAGGCTGGCCCTGGCATACCACTGCACACACCACTATACGTACCACTGTGTATAGCACCAATGTGTGGAAGTCTTACTGTATTCTGTGTGTTGTCAGTGTTCCTACATGCTAGGCCAACTCCTTTCAACAACCTGGAAAGATGAAACTGTTATCTGCAGATGAAGGAAATCAAGGCAAAGTGAGATTAAGGAAGCCCACCTAGGTCACACAGTTAGTTTGTGGCAGAGTCAGTAGTGAGTACAAAGGGCATAAGTGGGTACTTATGCTGTGAGTTCTGTTGGCTTGAATACCTCCCTGCCTCCGGTGTGATGTTTTCTTTTTGTATTTTGTAAATTTGCAAGCATAGCCCAAAGTACCTAGCAAAGGACTGGGCCTCACTGATTTTTTTTTTTTTTTTTTTTCTCTGTATGTAGGGCAGGCTCTACAGAGTGTTCAGGGTCTCATTATCTAGATCGGACTTGTAGAGATTCTCCTGTTTACAGCCTCCCAAGCCCTGGTATTACAGGCATGTGCCACTACGCCCAGTCTCAATTGCCGTCTCAGTGGCCCCCAGGGGCAGGGCTGGCACAGAATGCCCTGAGATGGAACCCCGGCCACTGCTCTCTGCCTAACCAGGGGCCTTCATCTGCTGAGCTATTGGGTTAGCCCTCACTTAATATTTGTTGGTGGGTTCTGAAGCCACAGAAGCTCGTGTCAGGCTTTCCCTTGCCAATTCCCCCTTGAGTAGGAAGGTGTGGAGGGCAGTGGTAGATATGCCTTGCCATCCAGAATCAGTATTGGCGACCTTGGCCTCCCGTCCTGGCTGTTTTCATCTGCAGCCTCACATCTCCAAACTGTCACTTACTGATTACTAAACTGGAGATTAGGCTTTGGATTTGGGCTGGACCTGAATGTGTTTGTACTTAATTTTCTTTCATAAGATGATGAGCCAGGCCTTCTCTGCCTAGCACAACTTGACAAATGTCTATAATTTCTCCGGGAGCATGAAACCTTGGCCTACTGTGACGAGTGTTCCCTCTCCCTGCTTTTCTTGTTCATGTTGCAATTCTGTGTGCTGGGTCACACAGCCAAGGTCACACAACTGCTAGATGATAAATACATGCATATTTTAGTAGGCAGCGGCTGGGATGAACACCGGAAAACTAAGAAGATGGCTTCCATGAAGGGAA